ACTCATGGAAATGTGTTTTCCATTGATTGGCTATAGTGTTTTACGTCGACCATGACGGCTACAATGCCCGACCATACCACAACGAACTGATCGGCAACAATCATTGTAATGCAAAAAGTTTCCATCTGTTCGAATAACATGCAAGATGAGCTAGGCAAAATGCTATGATAGTTTCTCCCCCACACTAGCTCGTGTTAAGCCTTGGGTTTTTTCATCTTTCTGACCTGTACAGCTCTATCTTCTTCTTTTTTTCTTTTTTTTGGTGCGTGTTTTGGCCGTGACGCTGAGACCTCAGGTCGGCAGAGTCATCAATGCCCCACCATCACTGCTGCGTCTTGGTACAGCGCCTGCTCATTAGTTGTCAGTGTTTCCTAGTCTCTGTACCATTGTCTTTCCTTATTCTTTTCGAGCTGGTTATGTGAACATAGTAAAAATCGTAGGGCCCTGAGCGAAAGAAATAAACTTTCTCTTTGCATTCGAGGTTATTACGACACCGTCTGCCACCTTGATGACCTAGGCAAAAAAGCATAGCGATGTTATAAATTTTTCATTCCTCCTATTTTCTTCAAGACATAACCTAGGATTCGAACCCTCGCTATCGCCCTACATGCATTCCCCCGATACACTTCGCATACATGTACATACTCATTCTTCCAAGTTGCTTCAAGTTATCATCTTGCATTTGAAAGCCCTATTTGAATATTGTGGCCAGCTGTTTTTGATGGCACGGTACGGGACAGGGACGGGATAGCGCCAGGCATGCCGATGGCACAAACACACAAACACACACGGAATCATAGCGGTGTAGACCCTGGCTAGCGCCAGACGTTACTGGAGTAACATCTGTTGCATAGCTATGGGAATAAAATAAAAATGATCACAATCCGCTGGAAGAGAAGTTGAAAGAGGCACCCTCGGTGTGAGTAGAAATGTTGAGGTATGACTGCAATGGAGTTGTTGAACATTAATGACTTTTTTAAATGCCTTGAAAATTAGATTTTTCTTTGTATTTTTCTCTATCACCTCTTTTGCTGGTGACTTTCAGCGGCTCATGGCTGTGAGTCATTACAGGCTGATATGCCAGTGATTGTGGAGCCTCCTTGTTGTTGTTGTTGTTGTGTTTATTTTAATTCGCAAACCAAACGGGCAGATCTGCCCAATGAAAAGGTGGCGAATGCAGATAGAAAGCAGCCTTCATGGACGGGTACACAATATACCTCCACATACAGCTGTGCGTCTGGGTATCTCCTGCATGGTGATAGAGAACGACATTGCAGATTGTTGTGTTCGTCACAGCAGTGCAATGCAACATATGTCTCCTGGTTCTGGAGTGGTCGGAAACCAGCATGCTTGGGTTGGTTGGCATTTTTCTGCTTTAGTCCATACTTTCATTGGCTTTGTCTCTTTGATCTACATATTTCGATATTTGCAACAGGACTAAAATCGATGGAGTTACGACAGTTTTACGGTACGTACACAATATCAGTCGTTAATGACTGATGCACCGCTAAGGGTTAAGCATAATTAATGACACAAGGTTATAATATAAAACAGAGAGGTTCCAGGCTGTCCAAGAAAGTGCTCAATACCGAGAGGCAGGGCTAATTCAAACAATACAAGGACAGATAAAGTGTTTTAACTCCGAGTTTCACGCACTAAGCGATCATCAGAAAACAGTAATGAGAAATCTGGATCAGTATTGGTTAATATACTCACAAAGCAAAGTATGACCGTTATAAGTATTTATAGCGTGCATCTCACCTACTCCACTGTGTTGCTCTAGAACACTGTAAGTCATAATATTACTATTCATATTACATTAACTGGAAGGTTAGCTAATGTATACTACATTAGTGTAGTGTGTCCACAGTCAAACCCACGTGATCAGGTCATGTTACTGTAGTATCCCTGCCCGACCAATACGGAAGCAGTACGGAACTAATACGGAGCTTGCCTGATGTATATTTAGTGTATCTCCGTATGTAAGCGTACGTCGTCTGCTGCATAAAAGCGGCTGCGCATTTCTGTTTTGAGAAAGAGAAGATTAGATTAGATTGGATAGCAATGAAAGCTAACTCGAAGAATAAGGATTCAGCCTCTAGGTGAGCACCGGAGAGAAAGTCAGTTATTTTGCCGCTTCTTCTATCACGAACGATTATATCTCAGGTGTGTACCTGAAAGTAGAATAAAAGTAATTATTGTATTACATTACCACCACCCCACCCCCCCCCCCCCCCTCCCTACCTCAATCCCACCCCTGCCTCCCGGTGCGTCAGCCCAGTGTTGACTCCGAGACCCATTGTCGGATGAGCTGCCCAGGCCTCACCACCAGTGCCGTTTCTGTGCTGCCTTCTCTATACATACGTATGTACACTGTATATGTGCACTGTGTATGTGCACTGTGTATGTGCACTGTGTATGTGACCGTTCACATGTCTGAAGGGTTGTGGTTTTCAATAAAAAAATAGATAAATAAAAAATATGCTCGCTGATTGACTCATTACTATCCTCCTTATTGATCCAACATGAGCAAGCCACTTTTTTTCTCAATAATGCTTGGGATCGGTGCTATTGGTCGCAAAAAGTTGGGCGCCGCTCAAATAGACATGCGCTAGGCCCTCACCATGGATGATGGACTGTGTAATAGAAATACGCATGCAATGGTTTGCATGAGCGCCATCCGCTGGGAGAGAGGTTGCAAGAGGCACCTTCGGTGTGAGTAGAAATCTTCTGGTATGACTGCATTGGAATTGTTGAACATGAATGACTTTTGGTTTTTATACCTTAAAAAGAAAAAGCAGTTTGTTCTTTGTATTTTTCTCTATCACCTCCTTTGGCTGGTGACTTTCAGCTCCTGGCTGTGAGGCGTTGCAGGCTGATTTGCCAATGATAGTTAGAAACGCTACCTGGAATGGTGCACAATATACCTCCACATACAGCTGTGCACCTGGGTATCTCCTGCATGGGGATAGAGAACGACATTGCAGATCATCGTGTTCGTCAGAGCGGTGCAATGCAACAGATGTCGCTTGGTTCTGGAGTGGTCGGGAAGCAGTGTGCTTGCGTGAGTTGGTATTTTTCTGCTTTAGTAAAGCCTCCACTGGCCTTGTGTATTATTTGAACACAGGTAACAATGCTGGGGTGAATTTGGAGTGCACATCTCACCTACTCCACTGTATTCCCTGGAACAAGGTGCACTGTGTATTCCACTGCTTCATTGTATACAGCCTTTTTCAATATCTGATGTCTATCTGATGTCAGTCAGGTTTTCAGCTCTCTTCTCCTTTCATCCACCTATTTTGAAAGGGCTTGCAGTCCACTTCAAAGTGATGTTTTACTTATAACTATTCATCTCCCATTTAGAATCTAGCCATGTGGTTAGGCGAGAAGGCAGAAATGCATGTGTATAATTATGGTGAGGTAAAATAGATACAAACAAACACTAAAAGTGGTGTAGAGGTGCGTGCTGTCGGATACCAGCCGATATCTAGATAGGACCTTTCAACATGTGGACACACGGAAACACTAAAAAGTAAACGTTTTCTCATCTGACCTGACAAACAAGCACGTTGCTTGTTGTGTTCTGTGTGCACAACTGATACGTATTCAGCGCGACAATGCAGTGTTCTGTGTCCACCACGGTATGGAAGGATGGCATTCTCCAACAGGCAAGAAGGACGTTTTGAGTTCAACAGCACCGTGGAGTTCACATGCCGTCCTGGCTACATGCTGCAGGGCAGTGTGACCCGTACTTGTCAGCCGGATGGGACTTGGAGTGGCAGTATGGCGACTTGTCAAGGTAGGAGGAGTGTGTAGGCAAGCAGGGTTTGGGAAGCTTAGCCTCTAGGTCAACAACAAAGGCCGGTGAAGGTGACATTGTGGATCCCTATCTCTCTCTCTCTTTCTCTAGAAATGAACTGCACCAATGTATCTTTTCCGCATCATGGCTGGTCAATCTCAAGGTACAACGGTAACACACAGGTCAGTGGTTGCATTGATGGCTACTACAGTGAGCCACAGACCCAGGTGAGAGTGTGTGCGGAGGACAAGAACTGGACTGGGAACACTCTAATGTGTACGGGTGAGAGAAACTGTCGCTGTCTAATGTACCTTCGCCTTGAGGTTCATTCCCAGTTGATTTATGATAGATGTAGGAGTAGATGAAGCCCTGACCATTCTACTGAGGTGTGTTCATGTCTTCTAGCTGTGAAATGAACTGACAACACTTTACCTGCGCCACCCACACTGTATGTATAGTAGGGCTATTTCAACATGGCTTTCAGCACCGATTGCAGAACCCAGCTGTGCTGAGCGGGCACTTGTCAGGGTTCTAACCATATGGAGTAGGGAGGGGGGGGGGGAGAGTCAGCACACCTACCCTGATGCCCCCCTACTTTGATGGCCCACCCTACACTGATGCCCCTTCCCCCCCCCCCCCCCACCCTGATGCCTCTTCCCCACCCTCTACTCTGATGGCTCCTGGAGTGTGTTGGAATTGGTCCACGGTTATCCGTACCATTATATTTTCCTAAAACGGAGCTACATCACAGGACTACCAGCGCTGACAAAAACCAGTCATCATACACCACAGTGATTTTAAGGACTTCACGAGAAGACATTGGATGTTTGACATGTTTGTCATGTTTGTCATCTCCTCCTGATTGTGTTGATCTTGCAGAGCTGATGTGTGAGACATTGCCCTCTCGTAGTCCACTGCGCACAACATACACGAACCAGACCAGGCGTCATTCCATTGCCACTCACGTATGCCCGCTCGGCTTCGACATGGTGGGTGGAGGCACATCTCGCCAGGAGTGTCGCGTGAACTGCACATACGACGTGGTCGATGGCCGTCTCATGCCAATGTGCCGACAGAGGCATGTATTCTGGACGGGCACTACGCCAACATGTCAAGGTAAGCGCACTAGTCTTGAGTAGAATGCTCTGCCTGCAGGACCCTTATGATTACTGGCACTGACAGGGAGCCCTTCCAAGGATGACTAGATGCACTGTGCACATATCCTTTTACCAACCTGATGAGAAACCAAGACAGAATTTGAAAAAGCATCAGTGAAGAGGCCATTTGGAAGATGTAGAGCGGATCCCGTGAATAATATATAATTATGTACGGTGTTTTAACGAGACGGCCGTAAATGCCTGGCATCCTTTCCATTTCCTCATTCTCCCGATGATATTCATCGATGGTGAAACGCTGTATAGTTAACTGAAAGACAGCTGAATGCCACCAATGCTAGTAGGATCCACATTTAGAGGTGTGCTCGTCAATATTGAGTGAATCTGATACAGTACATCTAAGCTTTTCCTCCATGGAAGACGCAGGATGAAGAGCGATCTCCAGAGAAAACTAACCTGAAAAGAATTTCAACAAAACCATAATTCTGTCAAATTACTGAAAAGGTCTGGAAAACAAGAGTTGGAAATTTGTGAAGACTTTTCTGGAGTCCATGTTTATGCCAACACAAGTAGGCACTCCCAATGAGAAGATTAGATTGGTTGAGCTGGTGCTGGTGCCTCGAGGTGGCCAATGAGCACGTGCCCAATGACAGTGGAGAACAGGCAGATATTCTAATCTACAAGGTTAGCACTTGCGTCGACACTCAGCGCATTAGTTTCTGGACTGACCAGCTCATTGCTGAAGCCGAGAGGGGTTATGTACTAAGTCCTGGGGAAGCACAATATCAGTGCGTGCTTCACTTGCCATTTGTGTCTATCCAGTTGCTACATCTTTCCTACAGATGCACATTGTTTCTTGTGCTCTCCTTGCCTGTGTTGCTATAGCTGGACCTTGCTCTAATGTCTTCCCACCGCGTCATGGTTCATTAATTTCTTACGAACTGGGCAACGTCACCTACAACACAACAGAAATCGGGTTTCGCGGAGTTCGTGGAATGAAGGTTACGTTCGGCTGCGACCCCACGTACAAGCTGTCGAGCGAAGGAATGCGCACAAGAACATGCGATGTCCCCTGGTCTGGTGTCGCGCCTCTCTGTGTGGGTGAGTGGTGCAGATCAACTTTGTGCCACCTGTTAAATGCTACTACTGATAGGGCGCTTTCGATTACACGCATTTCGGTCAATTCTAGAATTAGTTATTGTTGATGCACAGTTCGATTACACAAAAAGTGACAAATTCCGTCGTTTATAGAATTGATTTTATCCAATTCCGTCAAATCTGGCAATTCTGAAGAGAGGGCGGAATTTCTCTAATTCCGGCGCCAGAATTGCACAGTCGGTGTGTTACCGGTCTGGTCATGACTCAAGCGCGCGAAGAGCCTCCCTGGCCGGCGTGTGCGCGATGCTGGGTCCACGTGCGCGCGAGGATGTACGTGATCTCTTTTTTACGATTCATCAATTTTGTTTGTGACATGACATGAATAAAATGCGTTGTGAATTCCAGTCGTTCGTTTACAAGGCCGGAATCCGCTCATTATGGTCATTCCAAATTAGGTCATTCCAAATTTTAAAAAACAGTCCCAGCATTGTGAAAACGTGTAATCGAAAGCGCCCATAGAGTGAGGATCAAAGACTAGCTGACTCTCTGCATCTCTACCTGCACATCTTGGTCATGTTTCAGTACCCTCTGACGCATCTCACTCGAGCAGGGTTGTACAATGTTATTCGCCATAGCCTCAACTTCGTTGCACTGTCACAGTCAGAGACAGTCCACACTCCTCTCGAAAGAATGCTCACTGCACCAGAGGGCAGTGCGCTATACACATACATGAAGTACAAATGAAATACATCTTTCTCCTATGCTTATAACTCAATATGGTGCACCTGCCATTCGAAGATGTCAGACCTTCTGCGCCAACCGCCAGTTTGCACCAGGTTCGGCAAGGGTTGCCTCGCATTCCGGGGCGCCCAGCTGTGGAACACCTTACCCAGCAATATACGTGCCATCTCCACGCTCCGCCAGTTCCGCGCCAGCATGATCCCGCACACCCTTAGTAGAGGCGACGGTTTCAAATAGGACATAGGTTGCAAACCAGAACGGTCTCAATATTCACTTACTCTCTTGGTATTCTGATTAGAAAACGTATGTCACAGTGAGACTACGATGTGTTTTACTCAGCACCAAAATTTCATGGCTCTGCGATGACCAGAAGCACCATACCAAGCATTTGAGTTTTTGACGTGTTGCTTCCCACTGCGACTTGAGTTTACGACTTTCGAAAAATCAACTTCTTGTCGCAAGTAAACAGCGGCTTGCCTCTTGCCAATAAAGCACCGCATACCGATCAAAACTAATGGAAGCACACATAAGGCTTATTGTTACTCTGTACTGGCGGTCGTGGAGCGAAAGCAATTACCTAATTTCAGACCCGGAGTGAATTTGACGTGCACTCTAAAACATGTCCGGTTTGGAGTCACCTCTGATTTGAAGCAAAAATTTGGGCAACTTGGAGGCAATGGGTCAACACAAAGGAGTGGCTCAGTTCGATTGACTTTGGCCTCAGAGTAAACTTCAACATGCCAGTTGCCTTCCACAAACATATTTCAAGTGAACAATCAACGCTGATGATCGATCTGGGTCTATACAAATTTGGCTGTCAAGCCATTCCGGTATCGAACCGTCGCCTCTACCTAGAGTACCAAACGTGCTGTTTGATGATCAGCTGGCTTAGTTTCTCTCCACCTCTATCATTATTACATCCCTCTCCAATTTCATTAATTGCTGCTTTCTATCTGCATTCGCGACCTTTTCATTGGACAGATCTGCCCGTTTGGTTTGCGAATTAAAATAAACACAACAACAACAACCACAACAACACCTGAGCATGGCAAGCCCCACCAGCACCATCTCACCCTATGCTAGCCCCATGTGACTGCCAATGAGTTACAGATCTAAAAATAATATAAAAAGAGAAGATGGGAGGTTGTAATGATGTCACTGATACAGTTTGAGTAGCGCACAACGGTCGCTCTTCAGAAAGCATGACAATGATGACAGTTTGTTACGTGCACGAACCCCGAAGTTACAGCTAAAAAAGGCTCCCTTTTCCAAAAATTATTTTCACATTGCCGTGGGTTAAGTTGTCCCGTTAAGGCTCTAGATACGAAATGCGACGAGCATCAAATCACGGTTTTAGGATCCCAGCTAGCTTGCCATCTCTCATTCAGCATGGCATATGGTTGTGCAGACCGACTTGGTGTGTGCTGTGTGCTGCTTGTTCCCCTGCAGATGTCTGTACTGGTGTGGTGTGCACAGAGGATAGGAAGTGTCAGCCCCACCCCAGCCTGCGTAACAGCCACCAGTGCGTGTGCAAGGAGGAGAGGGACTGTCCTGTGCGCCATGCACCCGTCTGTGCCAGCAATGCACGCTCCTACAGGCATGCGTGCCATGCATTGGTGGATGCATGCAGGACGGCTGTCAACATCTCCATTGTGGGACAAGGCTACTGTACATCAGGTATGACCATTGTTATGTAGAGTGGCTTCATAGCCATCACGTGACCCGGCATACGAGACAGCCATAGGGTGGGAAGGAGGTAAAGAGTACAGGAAAGAGGTTTTTCTCACCTCTTTTATTTTATTTTTTTAGATTGGTCTTCGCAATAACACCACCCTCTTTCCTAGGCAGTCCCACAATTGAACATGGCCATTCACACAGTACAAACTCTCACTAGTCACTGGTCACTGGTCACTGGTCACAAAACATGTTGCTATTAGGCCGACTAAGTCTTTCGCTGGTCATTGCGTTTCTGGTGGGAACCAAACATTAATTTTGGAGACTCTGGACTGACATTCGCACCAAAACCCGATGCCATTGAGAGTTACAGTCGTCCCTCTCTAATCCGGCACTTGTTTATCCGGAACCCTTGCCAACCGGCGCACTTTCTGACGAAACCGATTTTTTTCGTTCAATTCCTACATCTTAATCCGGCACTTGAATTCCGCCTCCGGCAATGACTTTTTGAAACGAATCGCTCAAACTGCACGTAGTTTGATTTCCTAATCCGGCAGTCGTAAAGGTGCACTCCTTGCCAGGCCAGGCTAGGCCAGTCTGGTCAGTGCCGCGCGTGCGGGGCCACTTCAGAGTTCAGTTCAGTTGACAACTGTACTCGACCTGGCGCGGGAGAGTTCAGTTCGGTTGGTTGTTAGGACTTTTCCGAACCCTAACTCAATTTATACAAAGAGAAAGACCAAGGAACTACAAGTTACGCTATACTGTCCGCTAACACCACCAGTTACTAAACAATCAGCTCATGCGATAACATTGCACGATACTGACCGACGGTACTGACGTTCTACAACTAACTATAACGTTCGTTCGACCTGCATGATGTCGACTGCTTGCGTGGCCTTCTCAAGAGGGTCAATGTTGTCCAGGAGACAACGGCAAAGCAGTCAACCATACTTTCTTATTTTAGCAAGGAGTAGTGTCCTGCCATTTTTCAGGTGTGTGTGTCTGCGTGTGTGTGCAAGAGTACATGTGAACATGTTCTCTGTTTTACTTTATCACTTTATCACTGTGTATATTCCTGGAGAACAGTTGAGAATATATAGCCGTGCACCAAATACTTGGGTTGACACGGAAAAACCCTGCGTTTTGACGTATGATACATGCATGCAATTGGGTAGGGCCGGGTCAGAGGGCAGGATTTCTTAATCCAGCACCCTCGTTAATCCAGCAGAAAACGCCGTAGCAAAAGGTGCCGGATTAGAGAGGGACGACTGTACCACCATGGACGATTACGAACCAAAGGATAGCGGCGTGTTTTCTCTGGTCCCTGTGTAATTGTCTCAGTGAAATGCAGCATGGATAGTGCACTGAACAGGACCGTTGGCCAATGTAAAGCCTCGCCTCAAGCCATCTATAATCATTCTTCATCTACCTGTCAGCCGGTGCAGGATGGAACATGCTTGCGAGGTGGTAACGTCTTCAGCGCCATGCAAGACTGCATAGATACCTGCATGGAGCGTGAGTTCACCTGGGATTTAATGCCTCTTGTTGTTCCTAGCAGTGCATGAGTGTATCGTGAACCTTCTAAGTGAGCTTTGCCACTCTTGCGCCAGCTAGAATCGAATGGAAAGCTTGCACAAAGAGTACGCTTGTTCTTCATACACATTGCACCAATTCCTGCACAAATTTAATGGAATTTCCTTCCTTCGCTGAATGTGATTCTGAAACAAAGCTTGAACAGCGACCACAACAACAACGGTAACGGCAACGGCAGCCCTATCCACAATGCCATTGACAATGACTGCAACAACGATGACAGTACAGCAACCGCAACTTTAGCAGAAACTGCAACAGTACAAGAAGCAGCAGCAAACCGAGTGCTTGCCTAGGATATACCCATGTGTGCATGCATCAAATAAAAAGAACAACAACAACAACATCAGCTTGTGCATGCACACATACTTATGTAACGGGTGATTATGCTGTTACATGTATATGCATGCACAGAGGATCCATGTGAGCAGAGCCTAGACCCTGGCAACTGCACTGCCTACCACGACCGTTACTATTACCACAAGAATGGCGGCACATCGGGATGCTATGCTTTCCGCTATGGTGGTTGTTATGGCAACCTAAACAACTTTCCGACACGCGAGGCGTGTGAGGGATGCACTCGTAAGTGAAATAGAACAAACAAGGCATGCGATTCACACAAACACTTACTTTGGCTCTCCATTTACCGTATTCTTCCAGTGCAAATAACTTCTGCATGTCTATATGAGCTATTCTGCAGTTGCATGCGTGTGTGCTCCTCGTTGGCTTCGCTCGTTCCTCTTTTCTTTTTTTTCATTTGGCTTATGCGAAGGCTGGCCAAGCTTGCTTGGTGATGTCAATGCGAACAAGCATAATAATAACAATAATAATGTCTATGTGAGAGGCACCTGGTTTTCTTGAAATTTGGGGCAAAGAGTTTGAGAGAGTTTAATGACAGTATTGGGCTTCCGCAACTCAAAATGTTGCCAGAATTGAAGTGTTGGTTTCAGTCACGTTTTAGTTTCTGCTAGGTTTCTGTGATTTCATTCGATCTTGTCCAGACCGTAGAGGGTTTCAGATGCATCTCTATTGGACAACGTGTATGATGCGTGCTGCGGTTGTGAGAGTTGTGCATGTGTCGTTTGTGAGAGGGTACACATTTGATCTTGGACATTAGTATAGAGCATGGTAGAAGTAGTATATAGCATAGAGCATGGTAGAAGCAAGAGTAAATAAGCCCCCAGGAGTGTGCAATGAATTCTGCATGTGAGGTCTCCGTCAGCGAAACCGTACATCCCAGTACCTTCCTCACCGTGTACAGCGTAGCCCAGATTGCACTCACTGGTCCCGATACTAGTATACATTGCCATGCTTACACTGAGCACTCGCGTAGGTTGAGTGGATTTCTGTCAAGGATCGCCGTCTTGATCACAGCACAACTCCCGAAGAATGAGCTGAGAACACACAATTATGTGAGCACTGCAACACAATGTGATGTGAATGTTCGCGGGCGGCTGACCCCCATAGCAAACGGCATCCACAGTTGCACGCTCTTGCGAGCATAATAATTACGTGCTCTTGCAATGTGAGGCCTGGCGGAACCCGTCCGGCTGGTCAGGCCTTAGCTGGACCAACTGCTTGGCCCCTGACCGACGGGTGTGATAATTGCTGAGTAGGTAATGTGAATACCCTGCATTACAATATACTCAAACACAAACTGTATGAAAGGCTAGGGTATGCCCGGACCAATCAAAACACCCATCCGCCGGTCATATGCATACTCTTGCTTCAAAAATGTTTTGTTTTTCATGGCTGAGCATAGCGAAAGTGCAAAAAATGTATTTTTCACTCACAAATATTTTCGTGCGTTTGCTCTTGTTCTGCGCAACTCCGTTGAATCTGCTATCGTGGTCTTTGTTTTTCCTCGTGATAGTTGCAGTTGCCCGAGTGTGATTGCTCCGGTAGACCACTACCCCATGTACTGAACAGTTGATTTGTGAGGGAAAACATGCATTTTCTGGCCCATGAATTTGAAATGAAACTCGGCCATTTAGTCCGATATTACCCAAAATAGAACAGCTTGCAAACATGTTATTTTTTTTGCCCAAAACAGGTCGATGTCCTGCATTGTGCGGCCCAGACAATGGTCGCTTGCATGGCCGGCGTCGCTTTGTCGGAAGCATTGCTCGGTTCAGTTGTGCCCAGGGCTACAGGCTTACAGGCGACAGAGAGCGTGTGTGTAACTCTTCACTCAGGTGGACTGGAACACATCCTACATGTGAGTGACCTCATGTCCGTGCATGCAGGTGTTGTTTTACACTTCAGTGTTGCTATTGCTGCTTTCCCAGCAAAGGGGACTCGTCACTGACGCGAGGAGGTGTGGGCATTTAAAGTGCACAATTGTGTGTATGTGTGTGTGTGTGTGTGTGTGTGTGTGTGCGCGAGTGTGTGTGAATGCTCGCATGTTTGCCAAGAAACTCTGTGTGCTCACGGACAAAACAGAATGCCTCCTGTTCATACCTTATTTGTGCTGTGTTGTAGGTAAGCTGGACTGTGTGCCAAGGCTGTGTGAAGTGACCAGTAAGTCTGCCCCTAGATCCTTGAGCTCATCAAGCAATGCAAATATTTAATCTCTCTCTATTTCTGTCTCTGTCCGTCTATCTCTCTCTCCCCTCTCCTTCCCTCCCTCTCTCTCTCTCCCTCGCTCTCTCTCTCTCTCTCTCTCTCTCTCTCTCTCTCTCGCTCTCTCTCTCGCTCTCTCTCTCTCTCTCTCGCACATTCACTCACGCCATTACTGGTAATCATCTAGTGTGTCATCACCGTTGTCTTCTCCCGTCGTTTGAACTTACTCGTTCCCCAACGCCATTATCCTCTCCATCCTATCTCGCATCAGCATGTTGAACCCCAATACGTTGCAACGCCGGGGAGGGGAATTGGGGGGGGGGGGGGGGGGGTATGCACTCGTGTCACATGATTCCGGAGACCTATTACAGTAATATTGTTAATGGATCGTACTGTCAACGCTGACACTCATCGTGTACTGTATTTCCTCCCTCATCTTCAGCTGCATACACCTGTCCAGCGAACAACAACACCAGCATCGCTACATCATGCGGCCGTTACAGACTCGTAGACTTCGGTGAGTGTAGCCACATTCAGTGCAGAGTGATTGTCCAGACCGTGACTATGCTAATCGAGCACCGCTGTCTTCATATCTCCTGGAACAACACGGATGCTACTCACTGCTGTTGGTAAAGTTACTAAAGTATGGACACGGATGGAACAGAACATGCACAACACCATAAACTACAGTAAAAGGGGAAGTTCACCCTAAAATCAAAACTTCAAAACCTGTAGCGAACGATGCACTGATTCCAATGGTAAAAGTCCCACTTTGATTGGAGCAACCGTTCCGGAGTTATAGCATCTTCTTAACCACCTTGAGGGGAGCTCACTGTTACTGGAAACAAAGATAAAAGAATCATTTGCAAAAGTTATAGTAAAGAAAAGGACCAAGGGACTACAAGTTACTCTATAATGTCCACTAACACCACCAGTTACTTGACAATCAGCTCATGCGATAACATTGGAAGAAAAAAAATTATAAAATGAACTACTCAATCTGTGGACAGAACTGTTTCATCCTTTGTGGACACATCAGCACAGCATAGAGAAATGAGGCTGAACCTAATAGCAATGAAAAAAATATATAAAAATTTCCAAGACCAGATTTAAACCAGGTCCGAACGTACCTTGCCATAGTGTTCAAACTGACAAGTCAGTGAGCTCTGCATGACGCAAACAGCAAAGGCACTGCCCCACATGAGAGTGCTCAACTACTACAAGAGCAGGAGCGAATAAAATTAACTATAAATTAATCCTTGGCTCTGCATCCGAGTCTATCCTCTTTTTCAAGATTGACAACCTTTGCCTATCATTTCTGTTGATCTTTCCCACTTTTTGGCAATGCACTGTAGCTTTCTGGGCATACATCAATGCTTCAATGTCCGTGTGCGAGGACTCGATGTTCGTCATCAAGCTTCAAGTCTTTGGGGAGTTCTTTCGCAGTCAGAACTGTTCCTTCCTGACAAATTCTCTTGACAGTGTCAAAGTGCATGTGAACTTCAAGAACGGCTGTCCTTGTCCCTTCCCTATGCAATCATCTCGCTATATTGTCACTGGAACATGTGCCCCGAATACCAATCAACTGTTTCTAACCCAGCGTAGCGCTCTCGTTGCTACATCCGATGACAAGAGGAGTGACGAGAACTTCAGCCTTGCCCAGTACCATTGCAGTAGTCAGTAGTCTTGACTAGTAGGTGTGCTTCCCTGGAGCATGAGGTGATCATGTGGATACGGACGGTGCATGTGATTTGCTTCTTGTACTCTTGGTGGATGATCATTCATTACGTGTGCCCTTTGCTTTCTGCCAAGCTTGCTCTTGTTACAACTTCTGACACACCATATCTACACAATCATGTTTGCCTGTTAGTCATGAACTGACTTTCACTGTGCTGGCGGTAAACACAACTCTGCTTTTGTTTTCGGATTGTGGAGGCGCTGTTGCCGCTTTCCCATCACAGCCCAGTACTTGCATTTTTTTCTTCTCCGTTTGCAGAGCATTTTCAGGTACTGTTTTCACACGTCGGTGATCGTGTATTTGTGCTCAGCAAAATAAGCACCAAGCTGCTGTGCTTGCAGCATCCCCTTTCACGCCCAACTTCTTCGTTCTGATAAATGCAAGTAGCCGGCAAGCCTTATTCACTCAATCACGGTTTCTTTGGTCACTGATGAATTTGATATGCTCCTGTGCTGCACTGGTGTTTTCACATTGTTCAATTCTCGCAGCACATTTGGCCTGCCCTGAATTTCTTTTCAATTTTGGCACTTTACACATGCACGTACCATATGCATGGCATTTCAATTTTTTCAAGTCTTATTCTGCGTGATATGTTCATACACAGTGGCACTCAGGTTTATTGAATGGTTTCACCTCCTCTTCTGCAATCTTTCCCACAGAAAAAAAAACACATCACAAGCCAAGCCAGGTACCGACTTTGCATTCGTGTGTACCGCTGAGCAGTGTGTCTTCCCCGATCCAAGGCAATGCCGTCCCTGTACTCGGATGTCCTGTATCACCACAGCTTACGAATACAGACGCATAGCACTGCCATTGGAGATGATTCGGATGGAGGGGGTCCGGGGTCTCATCCGTGAACATTTTGAAATTCGGGTGCAAAATCCTGCATTCTGGCCACTTTTGGCATTTTGGTAAAGCTACTATGACCCCGCAATATAACCGTGCATCCTCACAACATTCTCCTCACGGTCTCTGCTGGCCTGAATCAATCACTGAAAATTGAATCTGAATTTTCGGCCAAGGTTCATGTTCAGGAATGCAGTCACTGCAGACAAAACAGAGATTCATGAGCCCGGCTATTTGGAGAGTGCTGTCAAGATGTGCGGTTGGTATTGGTATTATTATTATTATACGCACGTCCGCGTTTACGTCAACAGTAAGTCCACGTATTCGCATGTGCCAGAAGACAGGCAGAGTGGGCAGAGAGGAAAACAAAAAATAAAAGTAAAAAGACAGCAGGCGATAGGCACATAACTCATGTTCGATGATAGGTGCTCAATGCACGGGATCTATTCGAAAGATCCAAAAAAAATAAAACAAGAATAACAGACAACGACGGTAGGTTTGTAACTCATGGTCGATGGTAAGTGCTAAATGCACGGGGTCTGTACAATGCCTTTGTCCCATCCGTTAGTTACTGCGTACATCCTGGCACAGCTCGCGCCACGCTGGCCTGTCCACGGCGATGGCCCGCAGGTGCTCCAGGTCTGCCAAGTTCCTCAGACTCCTCAGTCCTGCTGGTTCTAGGTCCGCGAATAGTGTGGACACGATGGTTGTCCGTGGCCGCCCTCGCCATACCTTGTCCCCACAGGTGAAGTAACTCCGCATAGCGAGGGCGGCAGGCGTGTCTTGAGGGAGTCTGAGGATATGCCCAAACAGGCCCCATCTGGATCGCCGCATGAGGGCACTGATGGGCACTGCCTGGCATCTGCCGTACAGGGCTTTGTTTGGAATCACCCGCGGCCAGTGGATACCCAGGAGACTCCGAAGTTGTCTGCGATGGAATGTGTCCAGACGCTCCCATGCTGAAGCCTTAAGTCCCCAGGTGCCTCCATTGTAAGTTAGCACAGGGATGATAAACGCGTTGTAAAGCCTTAGCCGTAGACTTTCGCTGATGATCGATCGACGACACCATACCGTGAATAGCGCTCTGAAGGCTGCCGTTGCTAATTGTTTCCTTCGTGCAACATCTTCCTCGTCGCCGAGGAGTGATCCGAGTTTTTTTGTTTTCCGCCATACTTCAGCCAGGCGGTCTCCTTCCCGGCGCAATGTTGTTTTTTTCTGTTTTATCTTCGTTGACCTTTAGGTGCCAGTCTCCAAGGATAGCGATGATATCCGGTTCGATGCTCTCCAGCCAGGGCCTGGATTGGCTGATGAAATCAGTGTCATCGGCATAATTCACTTCTGGTGGTAGAGCCATGTCGCGCATTGGCTTGGGCGGGATCGATGCTCTGATCTCCCTCAAGGCTGATTCCAGGTAGATCACAAATACTACAGGAGAGAGAGAGTCACCTTGGGGGGTTCCGATGGTGGACTTGAAATCAGGTGAATTGGTATTGATTTATTTGAATTCGGTATCTCAACAGTACAATGTACAACTTGGGAAGATGTGCGGTTATAATGGATGGCTACAATGGAGTCGACGAATATTCAGAAATTAATACTGTATAGCAGGAAATTTTCGGACGGAAATTATTTTCGCACGATTTCGTGCACTGCCTCTTTTGTACTAAAATTAATTCCGTACTAAAATTTGTTCCTGTGAAGTTGGAAAGGCTTCCTGTCTGAAGCCTTTCCATACTGGTACTCGATGTTCCAGTTTTGTGACACGAGAATGGCACGAGAATTAGTGTACCGCTGAGTGTACCGCTATACACGTGGTCGACACGTAGTCGACACGTAGTCGACACGTTGTTAATACTTTTTTGACACGTGACCCCGTCAACGGTCTGCTTTGTGCCAATGCCACTCGGTAAACGCCGATGTCGCGTACAACAAAGACGACTATCCCGTACGCGAAATAGTTGAGAATTGCATGACGTGGACCTGACGGCAAGGACAACTGCGAGGAGGCCCCTTTCGGTACCCCTGACGGGAAGGAGAACTGCAGAAGTCGACGAAGTCGAACGAGGAGGTCCCTTTTCAATACCCCATACTGCAAAGTGCCATTGATGGATACCTTTTGCACCTGGAACGACCCCTTAAACGCTGTCGCGGCGACTATCCCGTACGCGAAATAGTTGAGAACTGCTGACGTGGACCTTTTGCACCTGGAACGGCCCCGTAAACGCTGTCGTGTCGGCGGAGTGAATGTGCAGGGTACTAGGGTGAAAAGAATTGCTGCAAAGACGTCCCCTCTACTAGGCTCTAGGCCTTTGCCTTTGGAGACATCGTCGGCGAACTGATTGCGCAGGGCGAAAAGAATTGCTGCAAAGACGTCCGCTCTAGGCCTTTGGAGACATCGTGGGAACTCCTTCCGGTACTATACAAACTGCTGACGTGGCCGTGGACATGTACATGGAGAGTCATGGTGGGACTTCATGTACATGGATACATGGTGGGAATTCCTTCCGGCACCCCCGTACCGCAAAGCCAACGGTGGGGAAGGAGAAGTGCAGACGTGCAGGAAGACGAACGAGGAGGAACCAGGACGAGCGAGCAATGGCAGGACTAGCTGGACCGTAAGTAATAGCTGAATTGTGCATGACAACTTGACATCCATGCGGCACTCGCCACTTGCCACTGCATATTTCTTGTCCACTAACAATGTCTCTCTTCTGCCCCCTGTGTGTCCACGGCCCTGTTGCTGAATTGGCCCGATGAATCGAATGTCTTCCGCAGCTGGAACGGCCCCGTGAACGCTGTCGCGTCGGCGACTGAATGCGCAGGAGGGAAAATATTGCTGCGAAGACGTCTCCTCTAGACGACGGTAAGGCACCCCATTGATATGTTGCCAGTGTGTGCCAGGGTATTGCGCGATGGTGAATGAGGAATGATGAAGGGTACGGTGGGACTGTAGACCTGTTACCTTCTACTAACACGTTATCAGGTGGAGAGTGTCTTGTACTCACGTTATCAGGTCGAGAGCGTATTGTAGTCACTCTCTCTATTCCTGTACTTCATTACGTTTAAGGTGTACGTATAACTTCTCAAAAAAATTTAATGGTCTACAGTCGTGTCGGAAGGGTACGGTGGGACTGTAGACATGTTACCTTCTAACACGTTATCAGGTGGAGAGTGTCTTGTACTCATGTTATCACTATATCAGGTCGAGAGCGTATTGTAGTCACTCTCTCTATTCCTGTACTTCATTACGTTTCAGGTGTACGTATAACTTTTCCAAAAAATTTAATGGTTCACGTCTTCAGATAGAGAGCGTATTGCACCCACTGTCTAGTCTCTGTAGTGCATTGAGATTTTGTTGATCGAACATGAAATGGATACACAGACAAAGCCAGGCCAAGTACATGGCGAGATGTCGCCAGAAGAACGTCTTCAGGTAGAGAGCGTATTGCACCCACTGTCTAGTCGATTTTGTGGATCGCACATGAAATGGATACACAGACAAAGCAGGCCAAGTACATGAGAGAGTGGACGATGTGCAGATCGACACGGCCTGCGGGTACTTCATTAAAGTTACCCGTAACATAACTAGGATAAAAGTTAATCACTGCAAAAACATTGCCAAGTATGTGAGCACTTTGGACTTGCCAGAAGAGTGCACGGGCGACGTTGACAAAACATACGGCGGTGACTGTCACTATCATGACAGCAGGGCACATCGCACGCAGCATCGCAGATCGTGTCGAATTGCGCATCATAATATTGCAAAATTGCTCCTGTGCATGCAAGTGGATTTCATTGCACTTCTCAGTTTGGGAAATGCTCGATTATGACAATTCTGCGTGTGAGTGCACTAGCCCTGAACAGACATGTAGGTGAACCGTTTGTGGTGTCTCATAGCCTACCTCACGACCTTCTGCTTTCTTTCTTCATCACTTGTATCTTGCAGGTATATCATCCCGTGACGACCACATTGAAGTCTGAATTTGAAGTGTGAAGATGCTTCAGCAACCACATCGTACTTTTCCATTGCTTTCATTGTGCTTCTACTGTGCATGTGTGTAACTTGTGGGGTAAACATGTGATGACATTGTATGCTGGCGACACGGTCAGATGTTCATACGTACACCTGCATGTTATGCATTGAAAAGGGTTTGCCACTTGCGATCCTGGGACGAGTATCAGGTCCGCTTTGTCCTGTGTGGGCTGTATCAGATTGCTGTTCACTTCTCTATCTGTTGGATATGTGACTTTCTGCAAGTTTCTGGTGTATGATGGCCACGTCCTTGCTTGTCACTTTGTATGATATTACATTCTGTATTCGCTGCTTCCATGGCATGGTCTGCAAACTACAATCCTTGGGCAAATGTCATATTTGCTATGTTGTGCTTTGGCCGTCAGCTTGTCTACACGCTGTAGTTGAATTATTTTTGTTTCACGACTGACTTCCTCAAGTACGGTGGCCACTGCTTTGCATGGCATTATACATGAAGAATTTCCTGTTTGTGTCGTGTGCATGTGCGTATGTGTGCGTGGCCACGTGTGTGTGCCGTGTGCATACACATGTTTGTGTAGTTGGGGTGGGGAGGGAACGGAAAAAGAGCTGAAATTATCCATATAAAAATCGCTCTGTGAGCGGTTCTGAAAAACCTTTACTGGTACTGCCCCGTCGTAAAAGTAAGAAATTAGAACTGGCCCATTGTCCCCCCAAATGCGAACTGATCCACCTAAATCGCGAATGACGGGACCCGAACGCACCAGTAGCACGAGGTTCCTACCTGTGGATGCAGATGGGGACGTTGGTCCGGACCATAGGCCATGTACTGTACTAGCGGTAGGC